ACCAGCATATGACGGCAGACCAGCATCACCAAACAGCAACCTGAGTCCACTTTGACATCCTGCCCAATTTGATGCTGGTGCTAAAAGATTTTCTTATTTGTCAAACCGATGCCAAAGTATAACTTCAAATGATGCTTGTTTTTACTCATTTTAGGAAAGAACATGCTTCTTGTAAGAGTTGTCATAAAATAAATCTTTTCCCTTGTAGTATTAAGACTTTATTCTCATAATGTTATGACATTATTCTCGTAATTTTATGATTTTATTGTCATAATGTTATGACTTTATTCTCGTACTTTTATGAGTACTCTCGGGTGACTTTATTCTCATTTTACGACTGTATTCTCTTAATTTTATGACTTTTTTCTCATAATGTTACTACATTATTCTCATAATTTTGCAACTTTATTCTGATAATGTTACGACTTTATTCTCGTAACTTAATAACTTTATTTTTGTAATGCTACGACTTTAGTCTTTTAATGTTACAACTTTTATTCTCGTAGTTTTATGTCTTTACTCTCGTAATAGAAAAAAAAAATCTATACTCTAATACTCCGTCATACCACCTGTGTGTTTTATTTCTGATGAATTGTTTGTTTCCTTTGGCAGTTATATCAGTTCGGTGTATGGCCCAGTTTGTTGGGAGAGAGGCCAAGTACAGGTGAGCCACATATTCTGGTCCAGAACCAGTATAATACCTTGTTAACATGTTAACTGTTTTGACCAAACAAACATACACTAAAGTAAACTTGGAACAGTTTCCGATAATAAAAGGCCGGGGTGACATTTAGGTCTCTCTCCTGATAAGTTAGAATTTTATTTGTATGTTTTACCCTTGAAATGCAGAAACCACAAAGGATACTACAAAGGATGTAAACACATAATAGTGATCATCACACTAAACATTAATGTAGAAAACCCAAGACAACTTCAGTGTATTGAAACAAAGGCAAAGCATAATCAAACAATAATAGAATGTTCAATTCTTAAACTTAAACAGCTATTTTTTTAACCTGGACCGTTGCTCTGCAGTAGGTCATTGCGGCACCTGGTGGCAGCGACCAACTTCGGCTCTCGACAGTTCCTCAAAAATGGAAATGTCATGTGATCAGTACAAAACGAAATTTTTTAGACAATAAAGTTTGTCTAAGTCTAAGTGCAGCGGCATAAGGTGAAGTAATGAGAATAGTAGTTGGGAAAAATCTATGGGTTTTTCAGCAGATGCACTTACACTCACCGGCCACTTTATTAGGTACCCCATGCTAGTAACAAGGCATTTCCGCCCACAGAACTGCCACTCACTGGAT